ATCGCTGTTGTCACGGTTAAATCACTTGAAAAGGCCTGTCTCTTATACACATCTTCTTAGTTACTGTCCTTTATAAGTTATTGCAATAACTCAGGGTATAAAATTCGAAAATTTCGGTTTTTTTTATTTGATTAATAAAATTGAATAAGTTTAGTTGTTTTACAAGGTGCGTTCCAAAGTAAACAGAACTTTTTGAATCAATATGTCAACTGATGCGTTAGATCTTTATCGATTATCCAATGAGAATCTCCATTCAAACACTCGTTTGACATGTTTTTGGACCGTGCAAAAAGCTGTATTGAAGCAGAAGGAGACTATTTTGAATAAAATAAATTGATTTTGCAGAAAAAAAACATTTGTTCTGTTTTTAATCCTGTTTGTTTTGGAACGCACCTTTCACCTTTACTAATTTTCTGAATATATTTTTATGTTTTCAAATTTCATTTACATTTTCATCTTCCACCGGTTTCTTATTTTCACTGTGCGAAATATGAACGCTCTTCTAAATATATTTCTTGCCAAAAAGACAATGCATGATTTGCCTCAATGGAATTTGGCAATTGTGCCAAACTTTTGTTAGACATCTTATTAATGCCAAATTTGTATTTTGTTGTTGTGCAAAAGAAATTTCAACACATTGAAGCAAATGGAAGTCTATGAAATTGAAAGCAGAACTTTCTAGATTTTATATCTTATATTTTATGCAAAACAATTGAAAATTAAAGAAATTAAAATATTTTTGCATTAAATACATTTTTTGAGTACTAGAAAAACCGAGTATTGAAAACAAAATATTATTTCTTGTATATTAATGATAACTGTATAATTTTATGATTTGGCGATGTGTGCTAAATACAATAAATAAATTTATAAATGTGTGTGTGTGATAGGTGTATACGCGCTTGCGAAGCATTTGCAAAGCACGAAAGGTGCTTGACATCCATTTCGCATTCGGCATCTAAATGTTCGGATTTGTAAAATACACACACGTCAGCATGCAACTGCTCCCGAGATTCAAATAGAAATATTTGAGTGTCAAAATGAATTATTGAACCATGGCTTCTTTATGTGAATTTTATAACACAAAAAATTACTATGTTTCATGTTGAAAATATTCGCAACTACAACGCTTTGAGTAGAGTGTTCATGCAAATTATAACAAAACCAAAAAACACATATGTATGTTTAGTACGAAAATAGCCAAAATATCGCTGGTATGTACCTGCTGCTGCTGGTTTTTGTTGTTGTCTTTTTAGTAGAACTGTTTTGAAATATTTTGTTTTGGTAAATTTGTATATAAAAAAAGCATTAATAAGCGGCAGTTGATGTAAAATTTTATTTTATTTTTTTCGAATTAAATTTTTTTTTAATTTTTATTTGTATGAAATGTAGCATAGTAAAAATTTTAATGCCAGTTTGTAGTTCCATTTTTTTTTTGTAAGCATGTAAAAGAGCAGAGAGGAAGAGAGAAAGAAGACATGTTATTTGATATTTTTATTATACATATGTATATACAAAATTGTACCTAATGTTTTTTAATAAATAGTTTATATGTATAGTATATGTATGTATATATATATTAAAGATTATAAATATTGATTGTATTATTTTTTGCAGTGATTAACTGTAATAAAATTCAAAATATGTTTAATTTTCCATTTTTCTTTTGCCAAAATATTTTACATTATATCGTATATGTATGTATATATATATTAAAGATTATAAATATTGATTGTATTATTTTTTGCAGTGATTAACTGTAATAAAATTCAAAATATGTTTAATTTTCCATTTTTCTTTTGCCAAAATATTTTACATTATATCGTATATGTATGTATATATATATATATATATATTAGGCTCTTGCATATCGGCTAACTATGATGTCTCACAACGAAACGTAATTACCTACCCACTGGAAAACTACTGAATATACTGAAAAAATCAATATGAATATTATCGTTTTTTTGTCAAAAAAATGTGTTTGCTTATTTCTAAGGAAATCTGTTCGGTTTCAGAGATATAGCGATCACCACAAAACGTCTTTTTTGGGAAGAACTCCCGGACATCAGCTGTTCCTAATAAATATTTTTGCTAATACTAAGTCTTAAAATACAGCTAACAGATATCATAATAGGTGTATAAGTTTTTCAATCAATAAATTAAAAAGTTKTCTCAGAAAAAATTGTGGAAAACTTGCTTTTTTCGGCCTTATAACTGTATATAATCCCTTAAATCTTCATCGTTCGTCCTTAACTATTTCTCAAACATTAGTAAAGCACACATCAATTTACTTCACTTTCTTTAGGTAATACATATATCCTTAAAAACATATTTCTAAGGAAGATAATTTCCAGTTCGAAAACCCTGTTGCAGCTTCTGTTGCTAACGCCTAATTTAGTATTTAAAAATAGTTGATAGAACGAAAATGTTAATATTTCTGAAGAAACGCTACTAATGATGTTTCCTGGTGATTTTAAAATCTTATGCAAATCCTATCCAAAACATAAGTAATAAAAGACAACAAAAAAAAATTAAAAAAGGGGACACTAACTTAGATGAATTAATGTTAACTACTTTAACTCTTTTTTAACTAACGTCTTAAACCAATAAAATTACAATATTACAAGAGAGAAAGTATTTTTTCATTAAAATAAAAAATAAAAAATGCTTTCGAAACTTTGGTTATTACAGCAAGATTGAGCTAGTTGTAAACCTCGGTATATTTCGAAATAGAGTTTCCAATCATCGAAAATTATAAAACGTAGCACAATATTACACAATGAGAATCTCAATAAGTCGTCGAGAAAGTATTTATAGACGCTTTAATACAAATTTATTTAGAGCAGAGTTGCCAACTACCAAATAAGCTAAAAATTCAGGAAATCATAAACTTAAACATTGTTACGAGACCCATAGTAGCCATTTATGACTAATTTTGGGCGCTTTGAATTCTAACATTTTCTAGAACAGAGTTGCCATTATCAAAGATTCAAAGTCAAAAATATTAAAAAATGTGCCAAAATATTGATAGGTTTGGAAAAGAACTTTTCGGAAAGTCTGTAGCTCTTTAATTTATAAAAATTATAAAACAACGAGCTAGTACTATCAACCTATTTTTCTTCAATAGGTTGTCTTCTTCACAATAACTTTTGTAAATTTATTTTCTAAACACCTTTGACTAGAGTGTGCTGAAAATTCTTGTAAATCCACCATCCAAATTTACTTCAGAAAGTGTAAAAAAAAAAATTATAAAATGTATAAAAAAATAAATGCACCACCATCAACACTCCCCCTTAGCTAGTTACCCAAATGGTGCTCATTTATTTTTGGGTGAACTGTAAGAATGATTCCATAAAACAAGTATAATTGCTTAGAAACTTAATAACTTGAGTAATTAAGTCAAAGTTTTTTCTTAATGAATTTGTTAGCAGATAAAAAAAGCTTGGCACCTTTTGTTAAATTTCGTGAGCTTTATGTGTTGTTTTAATTGCAAAACCGCACATTATTATTATTACATAATTAGTTCATATCTTTCATAGAACAAACTTGCCGGTAATGGCAGCAAAGTAAACAGCTCCAGTCATAAAAATTATATGTATAACTAATGTTCAACTGGTTTCCAGTACTTCTACAACAATGATGTAATAAAATATCGCATTATGTTCTTAGTATAATTTACGAAAACTGTAGGTAGTCGCACTACTAATTGCTCACGAAGCACTAGTGAAAAAAAGAACACAAAATACAGGAAGAAAGCTTAAAATAAAGCAAAACAAGTATAGAGTTTTTTTTTTACTTTTTTATTTATGACAGCTCTACTTTGAGCAAAAATATTAGAGTGTAATAAAAAATTTTAACAGACAAATATATTTTTTAAAAATATTAAAAAAAAAATTATAAATATTTCCTGCTCTGCGAAGCTTTCCATGACAGTAGCTTCATCTCTTTTCAACAGAACAGTTTTACTATATAAGCAAAAGTAGAAAAGTCAAACATTTAATTCACTTGCTGTAGACACTTAAGTGACATACTAATTTTGAATTTTTAATACATATTACGGCATAATCGCATACGACACGTTTATGGCATTTTTTTAAACAAATTCATCAGTCATGCTTTGTGAGCGATTGAGTCATAATGGCAGAGTATGAACGGAGAAATGAACACATCTCCGTTTGTAACTGTGTCTACTGACTACTTAAATACAATTGAAATTAGAAATAATTTGCATAACTTTTGTATGTCATCTCATACATACTATAGAAGCATTAAGGAAACGTAAATGGGGCACGAAGCAAAATATTTCTAGCCTCGCAAATGAAAAACAGACCGATTAGACGCATTTTAATACAGCTACATTTGACTTTATGTGAGTACTCAAAAAATAATTTAATTAGAATTTGCGTAAAAGTATTTTAAGCATTTTAGAAATGTCATATTTGAGATGACAGCTGACAGATTTGAGTTAGAGGGGCTGCCTAGCAACCGTCAGCAGTCAGAAAATGGGTCACCTTAATTATACACTTAGATGCTTGCTGCGGTAGAAAGTAGTGTAAGCAAAAAACAAAAAAATACTGAAAAACATAAATCAGTAGTAGTTGTAGTAGTAGTACTACAGACTAACGGTTGTTAATAACTTGCTTCCTCTTCCTCATAGCAGCGCTCTCCACAACCTCTTTGGTGGAAATGTGAAGGAAAGCAATTTGCCATTTGAAATATCATTGCTACACATTTACTACTCTGCTCAGCATTTGAATTACTACAACAAAGCATAAAAGAAATGTAAATTTAATAGAAAGAACGATAAACTAGCCGATAGACGACAGTCTGCCAGCCGGCAGCAAGTCGGCGTGGGAGTAGACAAGCATTCCTTTCTAATCAAAGATGCAACAGTTGTGCAAAATAATAGCAAACGAACAGCAATAACGGTGTATAGTATATCGAATATGGTTTGGTCTATGTGAAAGAAGCGAGTAACGGTACTGACATACTTTCATGCTTTGCATTTTTTCCGGAATTTTTTGTTCGAATTGCTCGCGCAGTTTATTTGTTATTTCCCTGATGATTATCGAATCCAGTCGTTGGGTAGACATTTTTTGTGACTTTGTCTGTAGTGTGCGGCACGGTGAGACATTAACTTCCGCCGCAAATAATTAAGATAGAGAAAAAGAACTAGAGAATTCAGAATAACGAATGAAAGGACGACTGCAGAAATTTATTGGATAAAAAAAATTTTGGGAAAGGATCATATAATTTCTTTATGAGGAGGCTTGAGTAATTTTTTTCAGTCCGGGTCAAATTTGATCGGATGGTATAAGCCAGTCATTTGACTAATTTCGTTTCTAATAGAAATTGGCAATAACAAATTTAATTTTTGTCAGTCCATGTACAATTTGATCGGGTGGTATAACGCAGTCATTTGGCTAATTTCGTACTTATAATAGAAATCGGTAATAATTTGAGGCTTAGTTCGAAGTATTTTTTTTCTAAATTTATATATAACTTATAATTACTAGTTAAGCTTATTTCCATATGCTTACATACATATTTATGTGAATATATCCTCCATACATAAAAATTGCTGTAATTTGAATTTAATCGGAATTCCTAAGTACCCTTAAATATGTGTAAAATAAACAAACAAATGCTACACGTAACGCCTTTTATACCAAAATTGCCACATTTCACTTATAAGACAACTCAGGTCCACATAAACTAGCTTACGTATAAAAATCTAATCACCAGAAACACCTACATACATACATAMATACAAACATATACACATACTTATAATCACTTAAGAATTCGCTGGCCACAACGTGCTAAAAATGCATGTATATAAGTATGTATGCGTGTAAGTTTTAATTGGATATGTGTGGGTGCTCCACAAATTCTTGGTTACCAACTCATTCCGCATGGGCGTCTGCATCTGACGGTACGCGTTGGTGATTCGTAGCAGTCACTGCGGTGTCGTCATGTTTCCTAAAACTCGTCAGTGAACACAACGAATCATGCGGAACAAAAGTCTAAAGCTAACATTTGCGTGGCCCACCAGCGGCCGAACGCTTACGCTCATTATGTGCGGCGCCAAAAACTCACTCAAACAGCTTTAGAAGAGTACTCAATACTGTCAGCAACGAAGTCGACTATTACTGATAGTCGAGTTCGCGGTCGGTAGCAGTGTTAAGTGCCCCACATGATGTGTTGACTCTACCGACTACTGTACTAATGTACATATGTACATACTTATATACAGAC